TAATAAAACATACTTATATTAGCTGTCCTGGTGCAATGAGTAAAACATTCTAGCTGCTTAAAGTCATTTGTAAAATGGTTTTTCCCACATTTTAAGAGGCATTTTGAAAGAATGCAGAAAGCAACTTAAACTTCCAGAGTAGAGCTTTTGAATGAGGCCAGAACCCAGCAGTGCCACCTGAGAGTAATGGCATGCCTACCAAAGTATTAAATGCAATTTTAACTCCAGACCTGTGTTTTCTAACATTAATGTCAACAAGGAATATGTTGTGGGTTTAACATTTTCCCTGGCCATGACTGATCCATTGATTGCTCTCAAAAGATTAAAGCTAGGGAAACAACAGATCACAGCACTAACTTTCTACTAACTTTCTAATCTATAGTTCTGCTAATGAAGCCCACAAGATTGTACAGTCGTGCCCTGCTTAATGATTACCCCACATTACGATGAATCTGCTTCACGATGATGTTTTGCAATCGCAATTGCGATTGCAAAACAATGTTTTAAATGGTTTTTTTCACTTTGCGAAGATCAGTACCCTGCTTCGGGAACTGATTCTTCGCATTACGATGATCAAAACAGCTGATTGTCGGGTTTTAAAAATGGCCACCGGGTGCTCAAAATGGCTCCCCGCTGTGCTTAGGGACAGATTCCTCGCTATACAGGCACCGAAAATGGCCACCCTATGGAGGATCTTCACTGGAAGGTGAGTTTTCAGCCCATTGGAACGTATTGAAGGGTTTACATTTTCACTCTACAGCGATTTCACTGGAACGAAATAACGTTAAGCGGGGTCCCACTGTAGTTTTTGTTTCCTTTCAGCTTGCTTTGCTTACTTCAGTTTCACTTTGTAAACCTTTGTTTACTGCCATCCAAGGAGCTCATCCTACAATGTAGAATCATTTCTCCCCCCTGTACTCAGAAAGAAATGCATCCGTAACTTCTGGGGCTCTATAAACCTGTAGCTTTGGACCTTCTGCCCAGAGAATCTGGGCAGTTGTAGTCCAAAAGCAGCTCTCCAAAGATCCTTACGTCTCAAAGGGGAAGAATGTGGGTGAAATGCATAGGACTCTCCATGTTGTCAAACTCATCATCAAAAAGGCAGAACTCAGATGTTTGTCACAAAGGAGTTTCAACGTCCTCACTTTATTGGTTAAGTAGCTTTCTTTCTTCGTGGCTGGTCTTCTGGACACAGGCCTGTTCTTCAAACATGAAGGCCTTATCTGTCACGTATCATTTGATCCTGGGTCTTCATGAATAAGGAATTTGGAGGCAACATGCAAATTCAGCTTTCCAGCACCAAAAAATCCTGTGTTAAGTTCATATAGAAAGCTGGTGGAGTGAAAAGCTGTTTCTTGAAAGATGTCCTTTGCAAAACTAGCATGCCAAAAATTGATCCACAGATGCTTGTCTTGACTTTTAGAGGATGGAATTATACCTCCCAAAGTGGGATGGATATGGGATGGATCCTTGCACAAGCTGGGAAATTATAACATGGTTTAAGATGGACTGCTGCAGCTTTCACCATCTGCTGCAAAAGGTGACCAACTGGATATGAGTAAATGATTATTGCCATCAGCAGGGAAGTGATCGCTGTTACCTGCAGGGAGGACCACTAGATCTTCTTAGAAGGAGCACCCTTAGGCATCTCAGTAAGGCAGCAACGAATAAAACTGAACGGCAAACTAAGGCACATCACATTTATAACCACGAGTGCAAATCAGGGGAAATTCATTCAGACAGGCATATAGAGGAAATTTGATGATAATATGTTTTAATGATCTTATATTCAGAACTACCCATAAGACCAGTAGCAACCCATTACTTAATGTGCAGTGAGAAGCTGATGTATGGGGTGGGATCATTGCCATCACCTGCATGGTATGTCACCAAGTCAATTATGACCCATGGCAACTCATTTTCAGAGCTTCGTAGGTGTAGAGTACTCAGAACTGGTTGGTTGGTTGTTCCTTTCTTCTGCAGCTACCCTGGGATTGTACAGGCTGGCTCTTTTCCCACCAAACATAAATATGATTAATTCCATCCAATATTCATACCCAATATATCTTCCACCTGCAGTGTTTATGTTCCTGGAGTGGCTAAGAATTTTACATGGAAATCTAACAGAATCTCTGAATTCTTTACTCTGTATTGAATGATACACAGTGAGAGGTAGTGAAAAGCAGTGCAAACATCGTTAAGAAAGGGAGGCAGTCTGGAAAAGATTGTTCCAGTCCTTGGCATTACCTACAGTTATGGTGGGGGTTGGGAATTGGTACTAAGGAAGAGTTAACCTTTGGGCTATAGATATGGGCATCTTTTATTGTCAGCCACCTTGCAGTAATTGCACCATGACATTCTTCCTTCTTTTTCTGCACACCTGAAAAGAAGAGAACTCCCCCCCCCCTCAGGTCTCCTTATACGAAGTGTAGAAGACGTAGAGTGTGAGGACTTGGTAAACTTGAAGATGGCCACATTCCACACAAAATTCGCACATGAAAGATCCTGCCTGGAAATAACAGCAGAGGGAATTATCTGGCATTCTTCAATCTCACGGGAAAGTCACACCCACACCCTGCATTTTCTCCTGATAAACGTGGTCAAAGTGTTCGCTCTGTGCCACGGTGAGGTGGTTCTTCCAGTCTCCACAGACCCCTGAAACACCACAAGAGGGAGAAGTAACCGTAAACAAGCGGAGTCAGTAAATCAAAACTAATAGAACTCTGGTGATCAACACCAGCACAGAGGCGGCCGCCGAACATGCTCTGCAGATACACCACAGAACAGCGCATTATGTTACATGCCATCAAGTCAGAACTGATTCATAAGAACCTTAGTAGAGTTTTCAAGGCAAGATATTCAAAGAATGTCCCATGATGCAATATGTCTCCCATTTATCATGCTGCCCTTTCATCTAACAACAGAAAGATTAGGACCACACACACCAGAAAGACCACTGTTCGTGACCGTTAATGATCCATGACTGGGGTGTGTGTGTGTGAAAAAGGACTGAAGAAGTGAGATTATCCCTCACCCCCCCCCAGTCCTTTGTCCATCTAATGAGCCTTTTCAGACAAGTGGGAAGTGAAACCAACATGGAAGATATATCAGAGATCTCCTACTAACTCTCCTCAGACTGCAGAAGCTACTTGTATGAGGAGCAAAACTTTTCAACCTAATAGGAAAGAAGTCCAGTTGTCATGACTCAGCTTCCAGATAACCACACCTGGATGACTGGGAATCTTCACAGATATTCAAAGAATGGTACCCCCATTCCACTACCCCAATAAATTTACAAGGCCAAGCAGGGATTCCAACTAAGTTCTCTTGAGCCCTAGTCTCCCACTCTTTCCTCTACACCTTGGGTGCCCAGATGTTCTTGGACTACAACTCCCAGAAATCCTAGTCAGCACAGCTAGTGGTGAAGGCTTCTGGGAGTTTTCATCAAAGAATACTTAGGGACCCAAATGTGGGAACCACTACTCTGCAGTTCACTGGGAAGCTCAAGAGTAGCTACTGCAACCTTTTGTAATGGCAGTTGTATCTTATTCAGAGCTTTGTCAGAGAAGTATCAATATGTTGTTTTTATTGGCCTTCTCAACTGACCATCACAATGGTAATTTCAACTTCATTGAGTGCATCAGAGGTAGCAGCACTTTGCATCAAAGTGAGTAGCGAGGAGTTTAAATGTAGCACTGTGTTATCACATGGGGTGCACTAAACCTGTTAGGAATACACAGTGGAAGTGAAGAACAGATTTAAGGAAGTAGCTTTGGTGGACAGAGTGCCAGAAGAACTATGGATGGAGGCTGGTAATATTGTACACAAGGCAGCAACAACAACCACCCCAAAGAAAAGGAAATGCAAGAAAGCAAAGTGGCTGTCCAACGAGGCCTTACAAACAGGAGAGAAGAGAAGGGAAACAAAATGCAAAGGAGATAGGGAAAGTTACAGAAAATGGAATAGCAAGGAGAGACAAGAGGGCCTTCTTAAATGAACAGTGCAAAGAAACAGAGGGAAAAAGGGAAAAAACAGAGATCTGTTCAGGAAAATTGGAGGTATGCAAAGATGGACATGATAAAGGACAAAAACGGGAGGGACCTAACAGAAGCAGAAGACATCAAGAAGAGGTGGCAAGAATACACAGAGGAATTATATCAGAAAGTTTTGGATATCCCGGACAACCCAGACAATATAGTTGCTGACCTTGAGCCAGACATCCTGGAGAGTGAGGTCAAGTGGGCCTTAGAAAGCCTGGCTAACAACAAGGCCAGTGGAAGTGATGGCATACCTGACGTTGGGAAAGTGTGAAGGCAAGAGGAGAAGGGGATGACAGAGGACAAGATGGATGGGCAGTGTCATCGTAGCAACCAACATAAATTTGACCTAACTCCAAGAGGCAGTGGAAGACAGGCAGGCCTGGCGTGCTCTGGTCCATGGTGTCATGAAGAGTCGGACACGACTTAACAACTAAACAACAACAACAACTCCTGTTAAGGTACATTGCTGCTCTGAGGCACAATGGTAGACAACATCCACACAAAAATGTCCAAGTGTGAAGCAATTGGCACCAACATAAATTTGACCTAACTCCAAGAGGCAGTGGAAGACAGGCAGGCCTGGCGTGCTCTGGTCCATGGTGTCATGAAGAGTCGGACACGACTTAACAACTAAACAACAACAACAACTCCTGTTAAGGTACATTGCTGCTCTGAGGCACAATGGTAGACAACATCCACACAAAAATGTCCAAGTGTGAAGCAATTGGCAATCTAGTCAGTGGCTTCAAATAGGATAGAGACACAGCTATTCTAATTCAGCCTATATTTAGGAATCAAAATGCACACATGCCATTTCTCTTCAGCTCTCTTTTTACCTTTCCTCATGAATTTTCCTTTAGAGTGATCCATACTTGGTAACAGGGAGTAGTTGGACATCTTGTTGTCCTTCATGATTTGGAAGGAGGCATATTTTGTCACTTCGTCCAGCTGGTGACTGGCCAGTTCCTTACCAAGGAAGTGGCAGATCTTCTTCACACTGCCTCGCAGGTCCTGAAGCAGAGAATATCAAGGGACAGAGAAGATCAGCTCCTTCATAAGAATCTCCTTTTTTCCCATTTTGCAAGCTGAATTAAGTTAGACTGCTTCCTTGATCTTTAGAGTACTGTTAAAATATACAGTTACAGGAGTTGGGTTTGATACCAGTTTAAAGGCCTTACCCGGAACCCAAGATCTGCAGTTGGGTGAGGTTTTTAAAATTATTTGCTGTGCTTGAGAGATCTCTAGTACAGAAAGTGCATGAGAGCTCTCTAGCACTGATTCTACGTTTCAGGATTCCACCAACAATTAATGTGCTATCAATCTGCTCCGTGTTTGTAGTTTAGAGAAACCCACTATTCCTTTATCTGCCATCCAACTGAGCCAAATGGACAACAGAGCCCTTGGAAAACCTCTGCCTGGCAAAAGTACGGTGCGCCATCATGTCTCAGCCAACCCAACTCCTGGAAACCAGCTGAAGAGAACTAAGACCTTGAATCGGGTTCAGAAAGTGAGGATGGAGGGCAGACCCCGTCTAATATGGCCCCTAGAAGAGTTGCTCTCTACTTGGTTAGAGATTAATTGCCATTTCAACTTGTTAGAAATCTTCACTTGGAGGAGAAGAAAGAACCTTGAAAGCATTAAAGAATGTTTAGTTTAAGCTCTAAAGTATTTGACTTGTTGAAAACTGAATGGTGAGAATATGTATACAGTGGTGCCCTGCTTAGCGACAAAATAGCTTAGCGGCGCTGTTTTTGCGATCACTTTTGCGATTGCTTTGCGATGTTCCCTATGGGGTATTTTCGCTTTGCGAATAAATAAATAAATAGCTTAAGCTCTAAAGTATTTGACTTGTTGAAAACTGAATGGTGAGAATATATATAAAGTGGTGCCTTGCTTAGCGATCGCTCCGTTTAGTGACAAAATCGCTTAGCGGCGCTGTTTTTGCAATCGCTTTGCGATGTTCCCTATGGGGTATTTTCGCTTTGCGATGACCAACCATCGCAAAGCAACCCTTTTCGCACAGCTGATTGGTGGTTTCAAAATGGCCGCTGGGGAAAAAACATGGCCGCCCGCTGTTTTCTGGGACGGATTCCTCGCTTTAGAGGCAGTGAAAATGGCGGCGCTATGGAGGATCTTCGCTGAACTGTGAATTTTAAGCCCATAGGAATGCATTAATCAGGTTTTAATGTGTTTCTATGGGCTTTTTATTTTCGCATTGCGACATTTTCGTGTAACAGCGATTTTTTCGGAATGAATTAACGTCACTGTAGGTCCATGAAAAGAGAAACAATGAACCAGACCTGCTGGAGCTCTTCATAGGTGATTAGGAAGAAGTTGGGTCTCTCCTTCAGCTTCATCCAGCCTTTCACATGGTCGAACCAGGAACCAAACATCACTGGAAAAGCGAAACCGAGACAAAGGTGGAATATAAAGAGATGAGCAAGGGACGTGACATTTGGAAACTATTGTCCCAGAATTCCAGTTTCCCTAATGCAGACAAAAGTCAATGCCAAGATACAGTCCTAATCTCACTGACCAAGAATATGCATTTTACCCATCAGATGTTTGTACCGATTCTGATTCATCCTTAATGTGCTTTAGACTTCTCCTGCTTTAGACATTTCCTTCAGCTCAGATAGAGGGTGCATGTTATTACTAAATCAGAATCTGGAGATAACAGTGGGGCGCTCGCAAGCAGAAGTTGACTGATTTATTAGCTTTTTTCTTCTTATGTAAGCATTTTCTCTCTGGGCACACAGTTTCTTGAAAACTCCATGCCTGGGCAAATAAACATGTGATCAAAGGTGGCACTTACCTGCCAGTGGCCAAGCACAAACCCGGAACAAGCTAGGACGGTCTATGTCTTTTGCCTCCGGAGGGAGCTCCGCTTCTAATGATGTACTGACTGTGTGACATTTCACCTTCAGTCAGGGATGCATTAGCACAATTGGCTGCATCTCCCTGATGAATAAGCCAAGTTATAACCCCCAACTTGTGCTAGACTAGAGGCTGCTCTGTCCCTCTGTCTGCTATATCCCGGGAAAAAGACATTCAAACAACTACCAACTTAAATTACTCATTTATGGCTCTTTCTGTTTTTTTTTCCTAATTAATCTGTGTATACATCTTTGATTTTGGACTCTCCTTATACAAATTCCTGTTGTGTGTGTGCATATTGACTGTCTCTGCCAGCTAGCATAGATAAAACATTTCCCTGGAGCCTCTTGTCACACCTCTTGTGAAAAGAAAAGTGTCCACACTAGGAGTTCCCAACTTAATTCGGCTTTCTACTATTTTTTTAGAATTGGGCATTCACCTACCTTCAACAACTGCCTGGTTACTCACATTTAAATTCTGGCTCCATCTTTTTTTTAATTCACATTCTGGATCCCTGATATATTATTTATTGTGTGATTTTTACTCCTTTTCTTGGTTCCAGCTTATTGAAAAGAAACTCTTCTCTCTTCACATATCCCTGGAATGTTTGGCAGATATGAATCTCACCAGAGCTTATTCCATAATCAAGGACAAGCTCTGTCACGCCGAATTCAATTACCTATCCAATAACCTTAATCCTGTACGCTCCCCTCTTTCTGTTGGATTTTTTCCCTCTCAGGATCATTCTCCCAAATATTTCCATTCCCTAGTAAACCCACATTTAGGAAGAGCTTTTATGTTAGCCCGTTTTAATATTTTCCTTTTGGCCACCCATGCCATATGATTTCTCAATATCCCTTGTGAAAAAAGACCTCTTCTTTTGTTTAGAGATGCCTGACACCCTGTTTCAATGCCCTGCTCATTCTCACCTCCGAAATTTTTTTCTTGAACCTTGAATCTCCTATTTTTCCAATTCTTCTGAGTCAATTCTTTTTATTTTCATGAGTGATGAATGTAATGTCCTGACCGCTGCCGTTGCAGGTTTCTTACCTGCAATTCTGAAGTTGTCCCCTGCTTCTCGCTCCTAATTTGTGAAATTTGTGTAATTTTACTTCTCCTATTTTGCTTGTGTTGTTATAATTTGTAAATGCCATTAAAGGTTTCAGAACAGAACAGAGCCTCTTGTCACACCTCTTGTGAGAAGAAAAGTGTCCACACTAGAAGGCGAAAAATATGCAAGACCTCTTCTGAAATGTTTCACAAGAACAATGGATGCAGCCCTAACTGAGTTAGGCGTCTCATCTGTGTTCCAATCCCAAAGCCTGGAGTCTGGTTCCTCACTGTGTATCTTCCAGCCAACCTAGCCTTGGGTGAGCTACACAATGCCAGGGCATGACAGGAGATCTTAACAAGAAAAGGAGTCCAAGAAGGATGGGAGCTTCTAAAAGAAGAAATTCTAAAGGCACAACTACAAACAATTCCAACAGTGTGATGTGGCTATAAAAAAGGCAAATGCTGTTTAGGCTGCATTAATAGAAGTATAGTTTCCAAACCCCGCAAGACGCTAATCTCCCTCTATTCAGCACTGGTTAGGCCTCACCTTGAGTATTGTGTCCAGTCCTGGGCACCACACTTCAAGAAGGATGCCAACAAATTGGAACAAGTTCAGAGGAGGATGACAAAGATGGTCAGGGGGCTGGAAATCAAGCCTTATGAGGGAAGGCTGAAAGAACTGGACGTGTTTAGCCTTGAGAAAGGAAGACTGAGGGGTTGTAATACAGAGGAAGGGCAGGACCTGTTCTCGATCACCCCAGAGTGAAGGACATGCAACCATGGGCTCAAGTTAAGGAAGCCAAATTTTGGTTGAATATCAGGAAAGACATCCTAACTGTTAGAGCAGTACGAAAATGGAAGCAGTTACCTCGGGAGTTGGTGAGTTCTCCATCACTGGAGGCATTCAAGAAAAACTTAGATAATCACCTGCCAGATACGCTTTGATTGTATTCCTGTGTTAAGCAGGGGGTTGGACTTGATGGCCTTGTAGGCCCCTTCCAACTTCACTTTCCCATGATTCTATGATTCTTTTCAGTCTGATAAAGAAATTAGCTATACCTATTTATGGATATCCCATAGAGTGTAGTGTGTAGGGTTTTTTCCCAGTTAAAAAAGACCAATGAACTGCCTCTTTCCATACCCTTCCTGTTCAAGAACCTCTCCAGGAACTCTCCAGGTCTCAGGTTCCTCTAATGTTTCACAACACTTTGCGAAGTGATAATGTGAGACCAGCACATCCTTAGGGTTTCACATGACGTAGATAATCTGTAGGACAGAAAAGTTATACAGTATTTAGGGAAGGAAAAATCTCCCACCAAAGTGTCAAACCATTGTGGACTATATTGACCATGATGCAACTGCAGTGAAAAACCCCACTAGCGCTAACAGTGCTAACACCACAAGCAATTGCACAAGCAGCTTTGCAAGTATACATTTGCTTTTAAAAAGGCTGCCACAATCACTTTGGCAGTTCTTTGTACGATGTGCCATCTTAATAGTAACTACCACCTGTACGATGACATCACTGGAGTCTTCTCCTGGAATGTAGAAAAGATATCATTGGATGTAGTCCTAGCTATCTAATGTATTATTCTGTATTTTTAAAGCATAAGAAATGAGTAAAATATATATCTTTAAAATGGAATGCTACTTCTTTTTGTTTTGTTTTGTTTAACAAATTCAAGTACTTCTGGATTCAGAGCAACATTATGGAGATTTCCTACAGTCTTCCCCAAACTTCAATACACAGTCGTGTAATAATAATAATAATGGTGGTGGCAGTAGTTGTAGTAGTATTAGCACTAAATAATAAGGATGATGAAAATGATGGTGATGATGATGATTTAACATGTTGATTTCAACTTATGGAAACACATTCCATAGTTTTTTAGGTATAGAATTCTCAGACATGCTTAAACTCATTGCCTCCAAGTGTTTCCATGGAAGAGTAGAGATTTAAACCCAGAGTCCTAATCCATTACTCTATAAACTATATTGGATATCCAAGTATAACTATAGCTAATACCTTGAATTCCTGATTTGTTCAGCCCAAGTAAAACTGCTCTCCAACAAGACAGGACTGGTCTGCATACGATCCAGTTAGACCAGCCCTCCATCTGAAAACCAGTTGCCTAGAGGCATAGTTCACTGAGGCCTGGGATAGATAGTACCTCGACTTATGAACTTTATCCATATTGGAACAGTGTTCATAAGTTGAAACATTCATAAGTCGAAGTACCATTTCCCATTGAAATGGATGGGAACGGGATTAATCCATTCCAGCATTTCAAAAAAATACCAAGCGGCCAAGTGCCCGGCCAGCTCAAGCCTCCCAGCACTCCTCTGCCTCCGCCGCAGCCGGGGGTGACCGGCCAAGCACCCAGCCAGCTCAAGCCTCCCAGTGCTGGGTGACCGCTGCCTCCGATCGCGGTGGCGGGGGACCCCTGGGAGGTGTCCCAGGGCTTCTCTGCCACCATTGGAGACCTCCTGGGGGTCCCCCGCCACTGCGATCGGTGCCTTCAGGCTTTCCCAGGGGGTAGACCGGAGGCCTCCTAGGGGTCCAATCATGGTGGCATGGGACCCCCAAGTCTCTGACCTCTCAGGGCTTCCCCGCCGCCATCAAAGACACCAACAGTTTGAAATGAATGAAAAAAGGCAGGGGAAATTTGAATTTCTCGCCCTTTCCCCTGCCTTTTTTTTTCATTCACAAGTCGAGCCTCCGTTCGCAAGTTGAAGCAACATTTTGTGAACGGAACCAATCATACCTCGAAACATTTGCAAGTGGAGACATTCGTAAGTCGAGGTACCACTTATTTCCCTCCTTTTCTTCCTCTGAATCTGATTTACTGGCTAAGTACCCAGCCAAAAAAGGGCAGCTTGCCCCAGAAGCCTAGTTTACCAACATCTTTTCCTGTCAGAAAAGGCTGCTGAGCCATTCATGGACATCTGAGGGAAAGAGTAACAATATACAGGCTGACTCTTCTCCTATGAACCATGGTGGAGAACTGAACCCTCAGTTCAATCAGCAATCTGGCTGATTGCTGGCTCTATCCATAAATGGAATGGGTCCAGCCTAGAATTCTCTAGGTCAGCATCACCAACCCACAGGACCTAAAGGTGAGTCTTGATTGATGACTTCATTCTTGCTTACCTTGCATTTGGAATGCAGAAAGGACTTAGGGAAAAACTGGAATGGCAGGTGAGTCGTCAGGAACCTGGGTGGAGGATAGTTCAAGGCAACATTCAAACCATCAACAGTCTCAATCCATGGTGACCTGTTAGCCATGAACACACTCTGAACCCATGAGGGGTCTCCATCATGCCAGATTAAGCCCAAGATCTCCAACATCCAGTTGGTACCTGGAGGGGGAGGAGGATGTGCATGTGATCCAATAGTCACAAAGTTACATCTTCTCACACAATGCACCTTGAATAAAGCTAATTTCTCCTTCCCTTTGACTGCCTAGTCATATCTCCCTGTCCCTGCCCCTTTCAGACTCAGTCACTACCATCCAAAATACTGGGAAAATAATTCTGAGCAGCGAGTAGCTACGCATCTCATCGTACAAGGGCAGGAGTTCAAAATGTATAAGCCGCTCAACATGGCAATGTCGTAATTAGCAAGCATCTTTACTATATTCAGCAAGTGAGCAAGTAATTACGGAATTAATTATCTTAAAAATAATTTCAACAAATCAGAATATTACAAAAAGAAACTGAATATAAAATAATATATACATTATACAAGATATACTGTACAGTGGTGCCCTGCATAACGAGCGATTGGTTTAACGACGAATCTGCATAGCGATGTGTTGTGTATGTGAGGGGGGGGGGAGAGAGAGAGGCCCCAGCGTTAGTGGGAGTCTAAAAATTTTAATTTGGTTTCCAAGTATCCAAAGAGCTTTTTTTACTGAAAGACAGTGAATGGGTGAGTTGTGAAAAGAGGTAGCAGAAAACAAAAAAAATGGAGGGAAGAAATTAACTAAAGTAAGGTTTACATCAAAGCGTGAAGCGTGACTAAGTACTGTACTGAGTTTGGAAAGTTATGCTTAAGAGTAATATGGTGGTCCAAGGTCCCACAAGTAGTTACGTACAGTTATAGATATATGTTTGAAAGTAACTCTTTCTCATTATTCAATACTATTTAGTCATTTGGCTACAATCTGAAACCTTAGAATGCTGCAAGTCACTGGTCTGTGATACAAAGCAAACCAAAGCAGTGAAGCTAGGTTGCATGCATTATGTTACGTATAAAAGAAACAATATACAAATGTTATATAGGAAAACTAGTATCATGCTTTTACTACAAGAAGGGCACACAGGATCCAACCACCTTGACCAATAGATAGACTTCACCTCACAGGAATAGAATTTAAATATTCAAGAAGAGGTACAAATAAAAATGAAATCCCAGCAAAACTCCAGCCAAAGTTAACAACCACAGTTGGACACATCAGCATTGTGATATAAAATGTAGCTAACACAAAAATGAACTAATTATAAGGGACATATTAGTTGTAGTGACCTGTTGCTTAGTAACCTACACACTATGGTCAATTTGTGAACCACTAGCCAATACAGTGGTGCCTCGCTTAACGATTGCCTCATTAAACGACGAAACCGCTTTACGATGAAGTTTTTGCAGTTGCAAAACCATGTACCTATGGGGGAAATTTGCTTAACGGTGATCGGTTCCATGCTTCGGGAACCGATTTTTCACTAAACAATCATTTAGAAACAGCTGATCAGCAGTTCTAAAATGGCCGCCTGCTGTACAAAATGGCTCCCCGCTGTGTTTTCAGGACGGATTCCCCGCTTTACAGACAGCGAAAATGGCCGCCCTCATGGAGGATCTTCGCTAGATGGTGAGTTTTCAGCCCATTAGAACGCATTGAACCGGTTTCAATGCATTTCAATTTTTCTTTTTCATTTCGCAAAACGATGTTTTCGTAAGACAGCGAGTTTCGTGGAACGAATTAACATCGTCTTGCGAGGCACCACTGTATCTCATAAACTATCTGGTGCCTGCAAGGATTCAACAAGACTATGCTTCCAACTTGTCCTTAAGCAGGTTCGCATATTCCTGATTGCTTAACAAATATTCCCCTTTCCCCTACTTGTCCTTCTCCTACAGGAGGTAGACATCATCATGGCTGTTTTGACTTTGAATGGAGAAACGCAAACATATGACGTTGCCTTGCATTCAGCAAGTCTGCAGGCTTCTTACGCTAAGGGTAAGTCCTTATCCTTTTTGTGGAAACCTGTGTGTAAAACCATCTGTTTCATCTAAAGAAGCCCTGAAACAACAATACTAATTTCATTGATAAAATAATTCCAAGCAATGAATGCTATTCCACTGCAACACCAACCTGACTTGGGATAGCTGACAGTCACCACATCATCATCAAGGAGCTGGAATTCGTTTTCCATATAACTTAGTGATTCCTCGGAGTAGCCCATTGTGGGGAGAGGGATCCCCTTATAGGTGAAATAGGTCCTCTTCGCCGTAGAACAACTGGATATCCAATGGAGGGGGAAGAAGGAAGGGAGATGTTATGATGTATCATCTTTAGGGCTTTCCAAGTGGGACCAAAATTTTTCTTAAAACTCATAGAATTGATATGAGAACAGCAAAAACATGATGTATTTTGCCTCTAAAACTGGGAGTATGGGGACTGAGCCCAGTAGGTTATGATGTATCATCATTAGGGCTTTCCAAGTGGGACACTTTTTCATTTCTTAAAATGCATAGAATGGATATGAGAATAGCAAAAACATGACGTATTTTGCCTCTGAAACTGGGAGTATGGGGACTGAGCCCAGTACAGTTGGTGGAACAGAAGGGATCATGAAGGACAGCTACAGACGGCAAGCAGAACTTAAGATACCCTGTTTCCCTGAAAATAAGACCTAACCTGAAAATAAGCCCTAGTAAGATTTTTCAGGATGCCCATAATATAAGCCCTACCCCAAAAATAAGCCCCAGTTAAGTGAAACCCT